ATCACACTCGTATGACACACATATCTAAACCTCCTTCCATTTCTGAATCTCGTCCTTCTTCTCCTTCTCGTCTTCTTTCAGCTCCTTCAACGGATCAAACTATTCACACTAATCTGTCTCTCCAACGTCGTCGGGCTGGCGAAGAAGATCACCCACTCCGATATCTCAAAAATTCGTCGACTGTTCCTCCACCACCACCACCACCTCCGCCTCCAGCTGATGAAGAAGATTTCCCGCCCCGAGGTTTCACGCCTACAAACGTTTATTTTCAAACACAACTACCTCCACCGCCGGCCGACGAAGAAGATAACGAGATCATAAATATTAATCTGCCGTCGCCTCGTGCATCCGGAGATAGTCCACTTTGCCCGGTAGAACTGCTCAAGCGGACGGCAAAGCGATTTAAACTCGAGTGTGAACGTCGACGCAAAACAACAATGATTCAGAACGAAAAGGCCCAGGCCCGAAACATCGCCGAACAGGCTAAACACGTTGTTATGGCGGCCAAACGTGGTTGGTCGTACGACGGAGACCATCCCAAAGGAGTTACGTGGACGGACGACGAAGAGCCATCCACTATCGTCCGGCTACCCGAGTACGCGGAACTTGAACGACTTGGCTTAGGCAAGTACGACAGTGATGGCTGTTGGGTTCCCAGCTCGACCAGGCTCAAGAAAAGGTTTCTCAGTTTACGGTAAACGGACGCTACGCTGTGGCTGTCGTAAATTTCCCACACGAATAAAATAAATTAGCTGTCCATTGTCTTATTGTATAAAAATTTAAATAAATCAAAATCAAAATAATTGTAACTAAGTTTGTCGTTCATTATATGTTATCAATAATTCATGATTAATCATTTAATTATTAAACAAACTCGAGGTTAGGTACCCAAAGAATTGGATGGTCTGCCAATATTGTTCACGTACATTTTTGATTTTAAGAGGACGCCACATCCACATGTGTCGTATCTGTTTTACAAATGTATACAACATACCAATCTCACTATCAATATAACCGATTTTGTGTTATTAGCTTAAATAGTGAATTGAAAATTATTATCAAACTTGAAAGTAAGAACATTATAATAAATGTGTTCTACAACCACTGATTATACTTTAATAATTAACACTCAACCGTGATAAATCATTTTTTAAATCCATTCATTATTAATTAAATAAAAAAATATATTTTGATATAATGTGATTCACAGTATAAGTATAACATATATTATGTTATGCACCTATCAATCATAATATTATATTATTCTTTGAATGAGGTATGTTCAAATTGATCTATCTTGCATTCATTTGTACTACATTGAATACAATTTAATTTGAAATAAAGCTCACAAAGCTTTGTCAATATACATACATTTAGGAGAATAGATTTTCGAGTAATTATTATAATTACATCACTGCAGGTTGTTAATATATATTGAATTGTCTTGTTCTTATCAGCCTGTCAATTATTCAAATTTATATTTGCATAAATTAAAAGATAGTTATTTTGGTCGGATGGCTTCATATTTTTTTTATTCAACTGATTGTCTATTTTTCTTATTGTCTACCTACTCTGGTCTCTGCAATAGCGTAATAAACCGATTTGGGTGGATTTCAATATACGATCAGTTGTATAGCTTCTTGACCGCACGGAGGTACAGATATTTTTTTAAGATCATATTTTACTCTTCGTTAATACTTACTATGCTTTTGATTTCTATGTCTTTTCGATAGATACTAAAATAGTATACTCCATTATACTGCCTAAAAATGAATATAAGTTATAACACGAATAATAATAATAAATGCATCGGCATACAAATCAAATTAAAATTCATGTTCATCCCCTTTTGAGGCAGATTTCGTAATACAAAATGTATTTATAAGATATTACGAGTTATCATTTTTTTACGAACCATCTATATTTTCTTAGTAGGTACTATATTGATAATTTTTTTTGTATTTACCTATATACACTCATAGGTACATTGTGAAGTAAGATTATATCTAATATTAATTTACTATATAAAACCAAAAAATAATAACATAAATATGTATGCTTTCAACAACTCGTAAAAACGATTAACTGTGTCAATTAAGTTTTATTATAATTCTTATGTCTTAAATTTTAATATTCAATAAAATAATATGATTTAATTAAATTTAAAAAATAATTATAATATTTCATTTCATTTTTGAGTAGCGATACATAAATGCATTTTAATTTTGTGTTTAGGTATATTTTGTTGGGCTGTCTGTCGTAAATCTAAATAAAAAACAAAACAAACTTACTTAAAAGGCTAAAATTCAATTGATTCGTGTGATTATATGAGTCTATACGTATTTCAATTATTTTTTATGTGACTAAATATGCTATATGCTAAATTCGAAAAAAATGTTATCAAAGAATTAATTATTGCAAGAAAATATTAAAAAAGCACACAAGTATGTACTATAGGTAACAAGAGGTATTCGCTTGCTATACAATTGATGTCAATTGGTCACTGTCCACTGACCACTATTTTTGATATTGCTATTTAAGTAGGTATTTAATTTTATTATTTATATTTGTACCAATTTACGTTGATTTCATTTTTGTCGAAAACATTGCATTTATAAGTAATATTAATATTTTATTATTATGATAATGTGTATTATATATACCATATTATATTATTGTTATTAACTTTTGAGCCAATACCACCTTACCGTTAAACTGCTTGAACAGGTTCAAGGTATAAATAGGTAGGTAATATCTTAAAATTATTCTACTTATTTTGAAAATGTCATTGAGTATACTAAAATTCATTACGAAACGTCAGGTTAGGTCCCTACAGATAATGTTTTTGAATTTTAAAAAATAATGACCATCGTATTCATAGTTAAATAAGTTTTAAAAAAGGTAGGTACCTATATACTATTTGCAACCAAGCCTCCTTCTTTTACTTTTATGATTCAATACCTAGCTTTGTTTTATAGTAGTAGAATCTTAGTATATATTATAATAGTAGTTCAATCTCTAGTAACATTCACAAACATTATATTATAATAAAAGCGGGCAGGTACGTTTATAGGGCGGGGGAGGGGTCACCCCTTGACCCTTGTTGAACGGGGTGACAACATTTGTAGTCCATTTAGGGGTGGTACATTTATATTGACATATTATCATAGTGCATTAATTCTATTAAAAATAAATGTATTTATATTTTATGTTTTAATTATTATTATAGCCTTATTAGTTATTATGTTAAATTCGGCACTTAATATTCAAAATTAAAAATTCTTATTTCCTATGTATAAACGGTCGAGGAGTTCAATTAAAAAAAAGCGGGTGTCGCTCTGCTGTATAGTCCGTTACAAGTAATGATAGAATACTACTATTTACTAAGTATTTATACAGTATAAGATAAGTTTATTACTGTAATGGTGTAATTATAGATGGTGTTAAATTTGAATTAAATATTTAATGATATTAAATCATTGTACCTACATATACGAAAAATAATTCTGAGCGAAGATGGTCTGTCAGCCTATTATATTACTAAGTATATTTTGTACTATATTGTATTAAATTGTCAATGTTCTTTGTTGCATTCAAACATCCAAACATTTTGTGACGATAATAGTTAAAAAAAACCTAAAAAACTACAAAATTTTAAAGTTAGGTAACTTACATAAAAGAAAAAAATCAATTTTTTTTTAAAACTGATATTTTTTGTTTGTTTTCCTGACGATTTTGAAAACTGTTTGGAAACTTTTGACCGCCGAAGTACCAAATATATTCGCTTTCCTTCCAGAATGTATTAATATGCTTTAAATCTTTGAATATGTAAAATTTTGTTCGAATGTATATTCGATACCTAATACAAAATAATTAATTTAGACAGTCATACCGAATGCTGGAATAACTCAATATACATACATAATATATAAACGCACTTACTTTGAATGGCAAAAATATTTTCGAAGTACATACTGGCGTGGGCATTGTGCATCGGATCTCCTTGTGTGAAAGACAGGCATGGAAGTCGATTCTGTATGATCCTTATATAGAGTGATTTTTGTGTAATCCCTTCTCTTAATATGCATCGATTAATAATAATAATAATAATAATAATAATAATTTATTTTTAGCTAAAACAATATATATTTATACTAATATATAGGTACGCAAAGAAATGTAGAACACAAGTTTGTAACTCCCCTTTAAGCATAAGCTTGTTTTTTTTTTTTTTTTTTTTTGGGGGGGGGGTATTGTACTTAATATTAAAGTATTGATGTGTTTATGATCTTATTTTTTTTTGTGCTGTGTAACAAAGGTGCAGCTGGTAATTTATTGTTGTTATTACCGAATGTCTTGACCGTAGAGATGTAGAATATTATATTTTATGTGTTACATGTATCGCTGTGTGTGTATAAGGAATGCGTAAAGATATATGCCTAAAGCGTATGTATATGTAGTATGTATATTGGGTCACCCCTCACTCCATACGGGCCGTCGCTATTGGTTATTCTGTGTTCTTTTTAAGTATAAAAATATTATATATTACATTATTAAATTGTATAATATACACAATGGTATTTTAAAATTAAAATTGGTATAAATTTAAAGATGAAAAACAGTAATTAATTATTGGTGAACATGTATAGAAGTGAGACCATTTCATACTAAGCCAAAATCATTACTCGAAAACCAAACATGAAGTAGATTATAATCGTCATATATTATTATGTTTTAGGTAATGACTTAATGACGTGGTATAGGTACTCATTTGAATAATTTGAAAATTGTTCATATTCAAAAGAAAAAATTCTAATTTTAAAGCGCTTAAGAATTCAATTTCAATAAGTGTAAAAGTTTTCGGAAGTTTTATCCGATAACTAGGATAGTCGGTACAATTTGCATAAGATGTTTTTTAATGTTTAATATTTTGGTAGAAAACTCAGACGGGATTGAATTCTTAAATTTAATTATATTTAAAAATAATATTATATCTTTCTATGCTCAACAGTTTCCATAGCGTCGCAGAGGAAATAATGGAATGCAAAAAAGTAATACGTGGTATTATAGTTTTCATTATCGTAATAGTGTGCGCGGGGATAAAACTTGGAATAAAAATAGCTATATTAGAACATAAAATGAAAAAATCGGAAGAGAGAGCAATGCAGGATACTTCTCATTTTACATATCAACCATTTCTACAGGCGGATAATGAAAAAGAACTGGAAGAAAGTAAACGTAACATAGACGATATGATGAAGAGATTTTTTCGTAACAACTTTGGGAGTTTCCAACATGAAACAAGTTACACGGATAGTGGTATTGTCAGTGATGATGTTGTCAGTGACGATGCAGACCAAATGGACGAATAGTGTAAAAATATATAATATAAAATACAAAATATTTTATTTTCAGCTTATTTTACTTAATTTATATTGTAAGAAATATATATTTAATATAATTCTCAATTGATAAAAAAACATTTTATAAATGGAAAATATTTTATTGTTTAATTAGTCTAAGCCCTAATAATAAATTGGAACATAAAATACATAGTGAAAACATTTTTAACGCCTGTAAAATATAATATTTGACATTTACATTATATATATTGCTTACTATAATAATAAAATAAAATTAAATTTGTTTCTGGTTGTTTTACTAACAATAACGAATTCAAATCTGTTTTAAAAAGTCCAACCACTTAGGGTAAAGTCCAATAAATAACTGACAACCTCTATAAACTACAAAATGGGTACTAATACGAATTTTCTATTATCTTGTATAGTCGTATAATTTTGTTAGGAACTTAGGATGGTATTTTGCGGGCCGTATAATATCATTTGAGCATCCTGTGCCAAAATATCGTAGATACATCATATGTACATCAACATGCTAAACAATATAGAAGGGTATAAAAAATAATTTTTGATTGAAAATGATTGTCATAACATATCATATGCAATAAATGTATGGAAACAATTAAAAATAAATTTCATCAATTCAATTAAATTGTAGTCATAATTATATAAATGTACATAAATACCTATAATAATATAATATTATTTAGATAATGAATAATTCAATAATATATGATTTTTAAGTTTGAAATTAAGAGCGATACATAGCGACAAGTTTTTGTTAAATAAGCATTCAAAATTAAAATGTTGATAAAACTCATCACAATATCGACTTTTTTTTTAAAATTATTCTTATTAGTGAAAAGTTTTATTTAAATTAAAGTATAATTTTTGACCTTCAGGAGCCCGTTGTAAATGATAGATATACCACTAAAAATTTATAAAACAACTTGCAATTTTTGGTATAGGTACCTACACCTTTTTTCAGTTCTATTGTAAAGTAATTTTGATGCTCAAATGGTGTACGACCCTTTAAATGGTCAATGTGCAAAGGATATATAACCCACAAATCGAACAATGCACAACTTTCTTACAAAAATGGTCAACATTATTAATTAACAATAGTGATGTGCAAACGACAACCGGCAATTGTGAGACTTGTATGTGGGCAGCTCATCGTACACATTATTTTCAATGTCTAGGTCAATAAATTGCTAACTTCAGTACTTCACACTCGTATTATACTATCTCTGACAGTCTGACATCTACCGATGGAACAGTACATAATTTTCATAATTTGAAAACTACTTATTTAATGTTTTCCACGGATGTTGTTCTTCTATGTTGCGTTTAGCTCGTTTCAAAGGTCGGTTTGGCGGTTCACATTCACAGCAAACTATACTTATTAGCAGGTAATGCTCCTAAAGAACTTTCGAGTGAAAAACCAAATTTTCTTGTATCACAGCGGGAACGTTGGTTAAATAATATTATTATTCCACAGGCGTCGAATCACGGACTTAAAATTAATAATTAGTGTAATACTATACACTATATAGCGATATAGCCATATAGGTACACTATACTATACACATAACTAAGAAAAGAGAATAAGGAATTCAAATGTTTTTTTTAAAACTAAATTGGAATTCTGGAATCATATTCTTTTCTTCCGCTGTTAATGGTCTTAATGCACGAAAAACGGCCAGCTTTCAACAGCTTCATAAGTTTGATAATAAGTCAATTTACTTTTATATTTAAAGTGAACACAGAAATTGGAGGTATAAGTTTTGGTATGTTATGCAAACTCATAATCTATATAGTTAAAGAGTAAAGGTAATGATGATGACATTTTGAGAAGCCTGAAAATCGTATATGTGTAAAAAGTGTAGTGACCATCCAGTGTATTGTTATTAAAATATAATTACTACTCTATCAGTAATTTTTATTACAAATATTAATTAAGGACTCAGTATATAATTTTATGTTATAAATAAAGTATTGCAAAACATAATATCAGATATATATTATTTAATTATATAAATATAAAACAATATTTAAAATGATGAAAAAGTTATTAAAATACAAATAAAGATATTGATAGTAATTTGAATTGCCTAGAAATAGGTACATTTTTATAATATTATGTAAACAATTAAAAAAAAACAATTTTCAACAGTAGTATCAAAAACTGATTCTGTCACAACTCGCTAAGGTAAAATTACTATTATTATATACAGTGGTTTAAACACCAGAATGAACTCCAATATGATAACCTAAAAATTAAAATAATAAAATATACCTACATTTATATATATGTATTGACATAACAATATTATATATTAAAAAAAAATCATATTAAATGTTCAAACAACTTCAGTTATTTGTTGGCCCAGACTCCAGGTTGTTTTATCATATTAAGCTTTATGATAATAATAAATATATAGTACTGAGTTAACATTAAATTCAATAAACAGGTGTGAAAATGAGTGTCACTCTGCTGTACAGTAGGTTACAAGTGGGTCACTGTAATGGATTGTATTAAATTTTAATTCAATGATATAATATCATTATCTAAGAAAAACGATTCTGAGCGAAAACGGTTAGTCAGCCTATTATATTACGAAGTATATTTGATGATACTAAGGTGAACAAAGTAATTTATATAGAACATATTCACGTGGAATCTTGTTTTAAATTTTCAATCCTTACCTAGAGAAGTTGAAAATTTCAAAAATTTTTAACTACAAAATTATTATTAAATTTTAAATGTGATAAATTTTGTCAAAATTTGAACTTTAAATGCTTATAAAAAAAATTGTGCCTATGTATTTTTAATATTTTTCAAGTGGTATTGTAAAAATATATCAGGAGCTTTGCATTAAATTTTCATGCTTTTTTACCTAACAAATAACATTTACTTGATATTTAGAGAAAAAAAAAGAAAAAAATTTAAAACTGAAAATGTCCGTAAACAATTCAAAAAGAGTCAAATATTTTCAAAATTGTATGGTGTACAGGAAATGCTAATATAAACATTCAGTGAAATTTTCAAGTATCTACAGTCATTCGTTTTTTAATTAAAACAAAATAAGAAAATCGTTACATGAGAAATCGAGTCAATATCAAATGTTGTAAAAATATGAATTTCAAACGCTCATAAAAATATAATTTGAGTTTCTTGTACATATTTTTTTTTGATAAAGTTAGACAAACTTATGAGGAATCTTGTATTACATTTTCATATCTTAGATTGAAAAAGAAACATTTTTATGAATTTCTAACTCGAAATTTTCGTTATTTTTACGTATGTCAATATTTTAACTTAAAATGCTTATAACAAAAAAAGGTGACTAAGGATTTTTAATATTTTTCAAATGTCAGTGTAACAATATAGTAGGAGCCTTGTATTAAATTTTCAATTATTTTTACTCAACAAATAAAGTTTTATTGACATTCATAGAAAAAAAAACCAATAAAATGGAAAACTGAAAATGTCCCTAAACAGTTCAAAACATATCAAAATATTTATATATATATAAAAAATATATTCTATATTTCTATATATTATGTATTGAAAATGGAAATATAAACAACCATCGAAAATTTCATGTATATTATATTTTTCCATAAAAATGGAAAATGAAAATGTCCCTAAACAGTTCAAAATAAATCAAAATATTTTGAAAATGTTATTGTATAGAAAATGCAAATATAAAAAATCAATGAACATTTCATGTATATACGTTCATTTGTTTTAGAGTTACACCAAATCAGATGATATTTTGACAACTAAATAGTAAACAACTGTAATATTGTAAACTGTGCATATTTGTCTTGTCTTGACTTGACTAATATGCCCACATATAAAACAAATTGTTTTTAGTTGATTAAAACGAAAATGACTACGACGACTGACTAACACAGTTTTGCTCTTTTGGTGGGCCATCAGTGAAAAATACTTTACGATATATTCTCATATCTACTAAATATACAAAAAAATGTCAATAAAATCGTTCGAGCAGTTTTAGAGGAGTGCGACCACAAACACCATGACCTGAGATTTTTATATAATATTAGATAATGTCCATTTACCGCGTTTGCAATCACCAATAATTCGGATTTTCTTAATTTTAAGCTGTTTGGTTCGACAAAGTATTCCGGCCAAATACAATTAGGCCAAATACGTAACCATGGAATATAACATATAATAACTGTTATTATTGTATTATATATTAATTGTGTGAGAATCTTTACAATTCGTTAAATTTTTGGAATTCGTCATAAACGTTTTAAGTTGAATAAGTACGATATCTAAAAACAATTATTGTAATTTTTCCATATTCAGAAAATATCTGCAGGTCATAAAGAACAAAAGATTATTGAAGTAAGATTTGCAGATGAAATTCAGCACGTATTTTCATAATATTACCTATACGGCTATACATAAATATATACATATACACAAAGTGAATCCTTCACTAATGGACCAATAATACACCTCCTAAAGATGGGTATACTCATACACTAGCAGCGAGTTACGGGCTGCTATTAAGCTCAAAAAAAGTAAATATTAAAATATTAACAGTACCATAGTCCATAGATATCCATATAGGTATTATATAGTATGTATTGATAATCGAGATCTTTTAAGGGTAGGTAACATTTATCGTACCTATTATTACTGTATAAGCATATTTCATAAATTAATATTGTTGTACCTAATAAAGCGATTCGTGTCTTGCAAACAGCTATTATTCGTATTTAGTCAACAATGAAGTTAACTTAATTTTCTATAACTTTGTCAACTGTCAAATTTCACTGAATATTGTAATATTTTAGATTCGGAGTAGATGAGCTATTGATTATTACTTAAGTGTGTGTGTTTTTTTTTAAACATTTTTAACTGATAAGTATTGATTCTGTAAGGTTCTCAAGTTTTTTACCCTGAGATACTTTGTCAGATTTCAATTTTAAACAATGCATTATGCAAATTATCCAAATAATAATATGAT